TTACACTTTAATGAGTGGCAGTGCATTAGTTGGAGCAGGCAAAGTCATTACGAATTCATATTACTTGATATTTGTAGACAAAGGCAAGCAAACACTTGAAAAGTAGCAAATACATGTATGTATTAAATGAAAAGCACTTGTGAGTGTATCTGTGTGTGTGCGTATTCAATTTGATTGCCTGTGTTATTTATTAATGTTGTTTGCTTTAATGGTCAAAACTTCACAGACTTCTGAAAAGCAATTGAACTTAACAACATCTGCACCTCACTTCACTTCACTTCACTTCAATTCATCGGTAGTGCAAACAAAAATTTCACACAAACACATACACATTTGCTAACAAACACATACATATATTTTTACACAAACACATATATTTACATACAAGCACATATAAATTTCCACTGCCGCTCATGCAGTGTGACGGCCAACAGGGCGTATGATGAATGGCTGTATAAACAGCGACCAGCCGACATTTATGCATATTACAAATTACGCGCTGTGAAAGCAAACTATAACCATAACAAAAACAACAACATACAACACGACAAATATGTACGATTACACTGCACTTTGGCTGTTGAACGTTCGCTGCGAAGAATGAGCGTTAAATTAATGAAATTGCATGCGATTTCAATTTTACGCCTGTCTAGCGGCAACGCGGCAAGAAGTTCACAGTACTAACTGTAAATGATAGCATATACCAATAAATATGCTTATGTGTATACATATGTACGTACGTATGTCTATGCGTTCGTGCGGCAGTGTGTGAGCCAACAAACAGACACTGACCGACAATCCACTGACACAGAGCTGATAAAACGAAAGGAAAGCAAAGCCAAGCAAAGCAGACGTGCTGTTTTACTCGTCGCTAGGTTATACAAGTATGTCCGAGCGGCAGCAGCAGCAGCAGGAAATGAATGAATTTCAGTTTTCTGTAATTAATTTGTAAATATTGTATTTGGTCCAAGTGGGACAAGGAAATATTACATGGCAACCGAAAGAGTTGGTTATTATTATTTTTGTGATTTTTATTTTTTTGATTTTTTTTTCGTGAATGCGTTGGTCGGTCAGCAGGAAATGGCAAAACGACAAAATCGGTTACCAACTTACTATGTGTATATGTATACGTGCAGATAGATATTTACTTTCACATATGCAAATGCGAAACCAGTATATTTGCGGGTAGTTTAAAAAGTCAGGTTGTTGAAAAAACGAATTTTGTAAAGAAAATAATTTTTGCTTAGAGCATGCCTGTAAAATGTTTCTAATTTTTTACATCCCTTTCTATATTTAGAACAGAACCACAGAGTATATATAACCATCAAATATGTTAAGATTTAACATGACGATTTGAAAAATATGCAACAGGTAATAATTTTATTTCGATTTTTTTTATCATCCGCTCAACTGTTTTCTTCGTAAATTTTCCTTCAAAGTTGCTACAATTAAATCAAAAGTCCAACTACTTATTTTACATACTGAAAAGTTTCTTTCCAGTCCAGTCTTTAAAGTCCGACTCAATCATTCGTTAGCTAATTACTCCCTTCCGTAGGTAAAGAATTACCATACACATTGGCGAGCTGAGAAGTTCTATATTTTTGTTGCTTTGTAGTTTTCTTTCTGTCATAAAGTTTCTAAACATGATAAAGTGTGAGAAAAAGGTCAAAAATTTCTTACTTTAATTTTTTTCTGTCGAATGATGGCGATTAGCAGCGAAGCGCCATCTGTCGGCCGAAAAAAATGTTCATATATAAATGAATAGCGATAAAGCTTTGGAGAGATTCGTCATATTTTTTGCTTCTAATTTCGAAATCATAAATTGAAAGTAATATACATACCTAAAAGTTCTCTCTCGGTCCTTCCTTAAGCCCAGACTCACTCATTTGTGAGTGCTGTTAAGTCTCTTCCTCTTAGTTATAGATTCACTATAAACATAATCGGCGACCAGAGAATTTCGCAACTCTGGTTGCTTAGTAGTTTTTCCTTTGTCTTAAAGGTTTCGTGTTCAGTAAAGTATTACAAAAAGTCCAAAAATATTTCTACAAGTCTCTTGGTATACTTTTTTGTATCAAATGGTGGCGATTAGAGGCGACGCGCCACCTTTTGGACAAATACAGTTTCACATAAAAATGAATAAGGTTAAAGAGCTTTATAGACACAGTTGAGATGTCTCCAATGATTGAATGGATCTTACAGAGGATTTTTGGTCCTTTCGACGGCTAGTGAAATCAAAATTGTAAAAACTTTTTTCTTCAATTTTGCAATGAACCTATTCTCTATAAAAATAAAAAATTGCGTCATCCATTCGTTTGCATAGAACGTGGCAATATAATTTTGTTTGATACATAACTGACGAAGATTAACTAACGAGGACGATAGGTGGCGCTATCGTCAAGATATTTATTATAATATTATTATTTATAGTCGCTATTTTTCATTTGAGAAATATTTATCTTTTGTGCCTGAGTTATTTAGAAAAACCGTTTATATATAAGCCGATATTGAGAGTAACGAACAATTCGATTATGATACGCACAAAATTTTTATTCTTAGGGATTCTACGTACACCATCTGATCGAATTTGAACCGAACTGACAAAAAACATACTATATTCTCACGTATTTTTTAACAAATCTTTATTTTCACCGTCATAAAAGGCTCCTAAGCCAATATGCCAGCTCTGATCATCCTTATTACTCATATTATTAATTAAACTCCAAATTATTCCATTTTAGGAAGCCACAAGTACATAAGTAGTTGTTAATCATCAACGCCCTAGCTAGGTCAAAATTTATTAGGTTACCATTTTCAAATATTTTAGAAAATGCACTTAGACTGCAACTTCCACCGTCTTTCACTAACATATATCCCTATTACGAGTGATTTTTAACAGAACAAGGCCTGATTTAATAAATATTTAATTTTTATTATTTAACCAACAACCCTCGTAGGGCTTGTATTCATTAATATATAACCAAAAATCTGAAGTTCACTTTAATTGCGTATATGAAAGTTTCTTTTTTTCCTTCTTAATTTTTTTGCTTCGTTTCCTCTCACAAATTGCTTGTTAAATCTCGTATTTATTTCATATCCTCGCACGGGTGACTTTATGGCAAAATATCAATGCTTGTGTGATTTGCCGATTATTGTCGGTTGAATGATAAAATTATAAATAAAATAATTTAATTGCTTTAGGTACGTTATAATTATGCAATTAAATAGAATTCATCATAAAATACTTGCGTAGGTAATACATAAAAATATGCGAATACGAATACAAAAAGAAAATAACAAAAGTAATTTAATACTGTCCATGTCATTAAATGATAACCAAAAAATTCTGTTGAATTAAGCGTCATGAATTTATATGCGAAAGCATATTAAAGATTTCTTGAAGAAATATATAACTGAAATTTTGTTGTTAAATTAACAAAAAAAAAAAAAAAATAGAAAAAAAGTTAACCTCGGTTGCACTGAAGCTACGAGTATAATACCCTTCACAAATATAAAAGATTCCTTACAAGCACTTCGTTCAGTTTATATAGCAGCTATATGCTTAAGTAATTTGATCTGAACAATTTCTTCGGAGATTGCACCACTGTCTTAGAAAATAATACGTTTCGTCAAATAAAAAAGTTTTCCATACAAGCACTTGATTCCGATCGTTTAGTTTGTATGGCAGCTATATGCAATAGTCGTCCGATTTGTGGCTGCTATTAAGGAATCAGTAGACCTACTGCTCCGAAGTTGAGCTTCTTCCAAGGAGGTGAGCATTCATTCCGACGTAGAGCGGCAATACTAGCGCTGAGCAAGCTCTACTAAAAATAGCATCAAGTTGCTTCATTATCCGACTCGTTTAGGTGCCTGGTCATAACGGAATCACTGCTAACTGCATAGCCGATGAGCAAGAGGTCCCCACTCACATCGGAGTAGGAACGAGTTGGATCTCCGTTGTCATCTTACGCTCTAGCACCCAACCTCCGAACCATTTAACCTACCTAACCTATTAAACGGAAAAATAGTAGTTTTAGAATTTATAAAGACACAAGAATGGGATTTATTGAATCAAACTTTACTGTTTGGAAAAAACTTTCACCTAAACCGCTTGATATAATCTTCTTACATCAAACTATAAAGAAGCTAATTCTAAATTAGTTCCAGTAGTTTGTGGAGTTTCGCAACTTATGGAGGCATGGCTCTATCTGACGATATTTAACATAAGCAAAACTAACCTTTGAGTAAACTCTGAAATTTCATACAACTTTTGCATGTCAATATTTTCTATACATAGGGGTTTTAGGGATTACATTTCAACACAGAGAGCTGTTTATTTACACTACTGACAGGCACTAATTGACTTTAGAGTTCGCTTTGAATAAAAAGTAGCTTATTTTACTCTCTACTACTAAGTCTTGTAATCTTTTACACACATTTGAGCTACTTTAAACTTGCAATCACAAATATGGAGAGGAGAGCTGAAGAGTCAGCATGCATCGGTAATGAAAAAGTTTAAAATTTTGGTACTTATTATTTTCATGAAAAGAGCCTATTATGTCTACGTCCACGATATGATGGACAAAGCCGACAGCGAGACTTTATTTAAAAGCACTCAATGCTCAATTAAAATTCTTCGAATCTACTGAATGCTAGCGACATAAGTACGAGTGCAATTGAAAAAAGTCATTCCAAGAATTCATACACATTTTCTATAGAATTTCAATTGTAGATATATATTTATTATGTTTACATACTTTGAGTTGAATGGACTGTAAATACATATCTCTAGTTTTATTCAATCGTTCCCATTGTACTATTACGCATTTTATGAGACACGAAGGACAGAGAAATAATAAGCAAAGAAAGACGAAGAAAAAATCAGAACACTTAGCCAACAAGAAATCTACTTATTTTCGCTAATAAATTACAAATCAACTTATAAGCTTACCATTTGATATTTATGCGTTTCTACATACTTTCTTTCAATATCATTCTTGCAGAGACCAACTGTGGAGCAGAGCTATAGCGGGAGACACGCGGGTGTATGCAGTGGTGGCAACTTTCGACAAAAGTTGAAGCTGCAAAGATTTTTGGTTATTTACGAATTTTGTTGATTTGTTGATTTCGGGGATTGAAAGTTGTGGCATTAGCAAATCAGGGCAGGAGACGACACGACGACACAACGAAGGCGCCAACACAATTGCGAACAAGCGCAACAAAAAGGAGGAAGAAAAAGTCAACACAATCAAAAGAAGTGATAAAATACAAGCAGCAAGTGGGTGTAGAAAAGGAAGTGGCAACAGAGCGGAGTGAAGAGACGATTGGCAGTGAGAAAGATAGAAAGAGAGGCCAGCGGTAACTTTGTGGGTGGAAAGTTTGCGCAACAAACGAAAACCGAGCCACAGTGGCTACCAGCAAGCAACAGTAGTTGAATTTGCGGCCGAGCACAAACTCAATTGTAGTTGGCGTTAGCACAATTGTTGTAGTTAGTGTTGTTGTAGTTGAAGGCTTCAACACTAAAATCAAATAATCAAAGCAAACATTGAGGCTGTAATAACAAGACAAGCTGGAGGACACGAGCGCCAGCTGCAGCAACAGCCGTTACACGCCAGCATAATAGTAAATCTAGTAGCAGAAACAGCAACAGTAACAACAATAAAGCCAACAACAGCTACAACAATTTTGGCTACTAAAGCAGCGCCGAAAGATGAGCAGCGGCAAAGATCAAAGCATTAAATAGCCAAAGAAGTTGCAGGCTCGAGCTATAGAGCAGCAGTTGGAATAGAAAAAGAAGAAGAAGAAGAAAAAGACGTGGATTAAGTAGTGACTCCACAACAACAAGCACAGCAAGCTGGCTTGCGCAACAAGAAAAATAAGCGCGTGCAGTGTGGCAGCAAAGAAGTCGGCAGTTGGGCGGCAAACGAGAGGCCAACACAGCCCGGAACAGACGAACGCCATTGTGTCAACACTAACAAAAACACGCACAACAAACAATTTGTGCAACATTAGAGCAACAGCAGCAGTGGCGTACGCGACCGCTGCTACAGCGACCACGGAGCATACGATAATGTGCACGAAGACTGTTGAGTCGCAACAGCAGCGCCGCAAATGCACGGATGAGCAATGTGATGACAGGAGCGACTACAACAAAAACCGACTACAACAAGAACAGCAACAATATAATGCCAATGTCTGCGACGTGGCAGTTGTTCAAGAGCAAAAAGCCAAACGAGCACACAATACACTCGTGCGCCAAGCGATGATACTGCAGCAGAAGCAGCAGCAGCAGCAACAACAACAACAGCAGCAGCAGCAAGAGTCAACGCCACAACGAGGGAAGGCGCGTGACAAAAGGCAATGGCGGGCAATGTGCGGCAGCAGCAGCGGCACACGCTATGGTCGGGCAGGAATCAAGTGGAAAATTATAATATCAACAATAATTTTGCTATTATGCCGCACAAGTGAGTACAACAACATAAATAAATAAAAGGAATGTCATTCGTATACATATGTACGTATATTTTTAGGCACATATAAACATACACATATATATATATATATAGGCACATAAAAGAATAAACATGAAAAGTTGTTTGGAAAAAAATGCACAATACACAAATAATAGCAATAAAAGCAGTAATAATAACAAAGGCAACATTAACAACAACAATGCATTGCATTATAATAACACACGTAATGACAGCACTTGAGCGTAATAATAAAATAATACACCAGCTGGCATGCATATACATATATACATACGTATATATATGTGTATATATACATACATGTGGGTGCGTGTGGCTGTGTCGCCAAATGCAGCACGTAAGTTAAAGACAACACATGTCAATTGAGTGATGCGTTGAGTGATGCCAAAACACATAATGACACGCCGGTTAATGTGTTTTGCGTGTATGTATATAATACGTTGCTGGCCATTACATAGGTACACTTTGGTTTTGATATATTGCTACAAAACTTTTAATAACCAGAAAAAAATGTCAGAGACCCTATGAAGTATATATATATATATATATATATATATAATTAATCAGCTAAACGTGCCTAGTCAATTTAGCCATTTTTGTCAATATATTAACGATATTTTCGACAATTCACCTTTCAGATTTTTTTTTCAATTCCATTGTACGCTAGATTGTGCATTACAGTATCAGTATCATAAAATTGGACCAATAATTCGAACAGACTTTGTCTTCTTTGAAGCAGGTTCGTCGAGTAAAGTCCACTGTTTCGACTGTTTCTTGGTCTCAGGTGTGTACCAGTGGATCCATATTTCGGCGACGGTCAATCTTTGCTTTATTCATTGATCCAAGCAGTTCACTTCTGGGAGATTGCTTCCTTCAGACGGGTCAATTTTTGACATTACAAGCCCGAATGTAGTAGATAATTTCCTGCCCATCGCAGCAAAGACCTAGCAAAACCTTCGTAACTGTCGGACTTGGCCACCCTTTGCGTCAACTCACCGCGATTCGACCACTACCTTTTCGCTTGACGTTGCCGTGGATTTTTTATCACCAATAACCATCCGCTTGAGAAAGGGAACGTTTTTGTTGCGATGTAGTAGAGATTCACAGATGGAAATACCATTCATGAAGAACTCGTGTGGCACCCATTTTTTATATCCAGCCTTATTTTTGGTTCTAAACGGTTTTTATACAATCTCAGGCTCCTAAGGCAATCGAAGGAGTGTACACAGGACGATCGGACTCGATGATTTCAATAATTTAAGATGCAATCGATAGTTGGCCTCAACGGAATGGAATCGGCGAAAACAAGTTTGTGCGTAATTGGCTGTTGCAATAGCAAAACCGTAAACCAAATCCACATCTTCAGCCGTATGACTTGTGTTTTCAACTTTATCGAAGAAAAACTGTAAAATATGGCGTATCTTTTCTTTGCTGGTTTCCATCTTTGACACGTGCTGCAACAATACTGAATCAAGCAATTAAAAAGCTCTCTTAGAGGTTTTTCTAGCACAAAGTCTAAACTTTCGAATGCAACTCTCCTTCTTCTTCCTAGAGCAACTCGATCGCACTTATACGACGCGAGCTACACCTTACGAAAGCCGTTAATTGGAAAAGTTTGTCTTTTTTATAGCTTAAAACTATATTGCCACAGTTAGACCAACACAACTCCTGAGCAATATACATAAGATTATTTGATCTATCTCTGGCTTCCATATACCGTTTGCATTAATTGTGTTTCCATATGTCGTATTATATGTATAACACATTCTATTAAACCTCGTTAAAAATATGAAATAATCGGTGCAAAGTTTCGTTCGCTTCGTATAAAAGAAACCAAAATTTTATTACGTGTACTTATAATAATGGCTGTATGCGTAGGTATACAAAACGAGCTGCAGGCAAATATGCCAAGCAAATAATTGAGTACATACATCATCGTGTGTTGTTTTACCACCTTTCTATGCATTTTGGGCAGTTATCATTGTCAACACTGCGCGCTAGTGTGAGTGTGAAAACACATATGTATACCTATATATATATTTATACACATATACAATATGTGTATGCATATGTATACATTGCACATAAATATATGGCTTGCGTAAATTGTGCGCTGTTTATATTTTTACTTGTCTGTCATTTGCTGGTGTTTTCTATAACGGCACAATTAAAAGCTTCTCGCTTCTCAATGCGGTGCTTTGTTATGACAGTTGGCAGTTAAAGGGTGCTTTAGGTATTAAAGTGCAGTTTTAGTTAGCTTACCTTAATATTTTTGCATGTACTTATACATGTGTGTACCTATGTATATGATTCGAGCGCCTAAAACTAGGCATCACAATATAAAATATTCAAAAATGGGTACCTTAAAATTTAGTTTCATTAGTTTTTAAGTAAAAAACTTGAGTGTTTCACTTTAGTCACCCATTATGCGCTGCTGCTGCACTTCTGTACATATACTTAGGTGTATTTTCATGTGTAGCTTTTTAGCTGATGCGCTTAGCTTAATTGAAGTTGAAAACTTTCTAAGCGCTCACACATAAAGCGCAAGTTTTGCGTTTACTTACTGCGATATGTGAGATTGCTGCAATATTTATCAACTGCTGCTGCATAAAGTTTTCGAATTTAGGTATAAGCTTTTTGACATAATTCTGTTGGTTGGTAACTAATATCGTTGTTTGCATGAACTTATTGATATCAGAACATTTCTGTTGTTAAAGCGTTGATTGCGCAAATTTGATGAAAGGTTTTTAATTATTTTTATTTCTTTTGAAAATTGTTAACTTTTTGTCGAAACCTCAAGCAATATATATCATTTTGTCAAAGCAAAGTAGGATTCTGACTTTTAATGCAGATCCTTTTGTTACATGCTTATGTTAGAAACACGTGGGATAAAAAAATGGCTGCTGGTTTTCTTGCAATTTATCCGTTTTTAGAAGGATCTGCAGGACCGGATCAAGGAATTCGGTAACCAATAACCGTGAGCTCGAGTTAGCGCCTGAAGCTGGCCTTCTGGCACTGCCCTAACTTCGTTCTGTATATTTTAGTATCTTACCTAATCAGAACCGACACACTAAACATATGCACTTCAAAAAGTTCCCGCATGATACTAACCACTTCTTTTTATGCCCCAACAAATCTGCTCAACTAATATCGCTTTCCCTAAAGTCCAAATTTGTTGAAAATTCAGCCAATTTCCTGAACCTTCCGTTAAGTGACTTCAATGATAGACTATTTGCGCGTTTTCCTACAAATAGGGCTTATATGTTCGCTACAACAAAAACAACCCAATTTCGTTAATATCCTCACTCATTAGTTCTAGAGTCCTATCTTATACCATATCATATTTTATATACTGTATCGTACTTTGCGTGGGTAAGCTTATTATGTACGCAATTGAAGCAACGAAGGGTTAAGGTAACACTCATCTTTATCTCGATAAGCGCAATGGCAGCTATTATAGCCTTTAAGTTCCTCCGTTACAAAAAAAGCAATGTACTAGTTAAATAAATTATCAAAGTTTCGTAAGAACACGTGTTACTTTTCATTATTTATAGCCGCTTCTATTTTTAAGTTCAGGAGTGAACACCTTAAAATATTTATTAACTGTGGACCTCATACAAATTGCGTTAAGACGCACTTAGATACTTCAAGAAAATTGTATTATAATAAATTTTGATTTATTATTTCATAAAGTTCAGATATACTTAATAAAATTTTACAAGAAGGTTACTGACAAATATTCATTTGAAATAATGCCAGTCACGTCGCATCACTCAGCAAGAGCTTACTTACCTGCAGACCAAAGTACTCGTGCCACACTTATGCTTATATACCTTACAATTTGGCTTGAAATTGCCCTCAACACCCTGTAAGCCAACTACAATTACTCATAACACTCGCTACGTGCTCGTGTATTCATAAAATAACCAGATGACAAATGCACCGAAACACTGAAATATACACACATCTTTCTACCTATATAAAGATATATAATATATATATAGATATATCCATAGGTGGGTACAGGGGGGTATATGCACCTTTAGAGAGACATTCGCGCACATAAAATAGAAAAATCGAGCAGAATCCAATGAGAAATAGAAATAAAGGACGGCACTGCAATAAAAGTCGAAAAAAAGAGAAATACAAATAAACAAACGAGCGTAAAAGTAAAGGCAAATAAATTACGACAATTTATAATTTTGCCAGCTTTTCCTTTTCACATTTCGCCTACAGCTTTTGCCTTAAATCTTTTTCATATAGCGCGACACATTTTATCTACTCTATACTTTTTGTATTGTTGTTGTTGTTATTATTGTTTTCTCTCTCTTTTTCTTTCTTTCATGCTGCGCTTCGTTGCTGTATACCATTACCTTTATCTCTGTGGCCGGGAATATTTTGCATTGTCTGCATTGTCGCCAACAAAAGGTCACGTGCTTGCCATACGAAAGGGTCGTCTCATGTCTCCGAGCTCATTCACTGCCCTAAGCGGAGATCTACATGTACAGATACAATTCAGCGGCGAAGATGTGGCTGCCGGGAACGCTGTTGGGGGCGTGGCAGGAGTTGGGGCCAAAGATGGCGTTGAAGTGGCGGCTGATGAAGCAAACGTGCGGAGTACAACAACAACGACGAGCACTACGGGCAGGACAACGGCGACAGCAACAATGACGACAATGTCGACAACGACATCACGCACGACATATCCATTAGATGGGATGAGTTTTCGTCAAGTGGGTGTCAGCGGCGGCGGTGTGGGCGTTGTGGAGAATACCATTACAAGCACTTTGGTAATTAGTAAAATCATTGATGATTTTGTGGATGCAATGGCTGCGGCGACGGGTAATGATACAGCGCGGACATTTGTAGAGCAGCATGCACAATTCAATAGCAGCTTAACGAGCAGTTCGAGTGCGGAAGTAACAACGCCAGCAGCGTCCAATGACACCAGTAATCAGACGACGCGGCCAACCAAAGTGTTGCAACGTCGCCGCAAAGAAATCGTGCAGAATATACCGGTCTTCCCCGATCCACGGCATAATGTCACACAAATCTCGGTGCCCTGTCAGACTTTTACACGTGGCGGCCTATACGAAATGCAAGTAGTAACCAATTTGAAGACCACTACGCCCGTTGCTGCGACAAATAGCAGCGCTCATGAGCCACTGCCCACCATGACCACCACGACACTGATGCCGGTCATCGATGAGCGTTTGCGTCAAACCTTAGACGTGCGATGGCCAAGCGCCGACATGCAAGTGACACCGACTCGCTTGCGCACCTATCCCGATCAACCGGTCGAGGTCGTGCTACGCTTTCCCGAAGTGAATTGTGAGCGCGCTTGGCAAGAGAGCAACTCGCTGGACTTGCCACAATTTTGGCTGGAGCTCATCTATTGCGGTAAGCAACGCAGCTGTACTGAGGTCTCGCCACAAAATGTCAGCAAATCGAGCATTCTGTATATGGAGCAAGTACGCGGCTATCCGAAGCATAAGCTCGTGCATCTCGGCTGCGAACTCTTCGGTTTGGCTGGCAATTATGCCGTGCAGTTGCGTTCGATGGTGCCAGCGCCGAATGTGCCCATTACACGACGCTTTCTCAGCGTCGATTGGAGCGATAAATTTGTGTTTAATGTTTATGCGCGCAGCATATTCCCTTGCGATCCTCATACGGGCATCGGTGTGTTGTACGAATATCCAGCATGTATACTGGAGCAGGGTGATCGTGTGCGCGTTTTTGCAAAACTGCGCGCTGATGTGGCATCGCTGAAGCCGCCCACTACGTTGCACTATGTTGCTGAGCAGCGTGTGGTGAAGAGTCATCATTCGCTTTACTTTAGCTGTGACCTGTTCACCGAGAAATACGTGGAATACTGCTTCGTCTATGTAAGTCAAGCCATCTCGGGTGCGGTAGCGGACGTGCGCATGGATTGTGTGCCGACATTGCCAGTTAGTGGTGAGTAAGATATATATATATAATATATATGTGTATATAGCATACTTGATATTTTGCAGACTTTAGAGAATATTAATCTATATGTTAACATCAAGAAAGCCAAGATGCTAATATTGTGCCATACGTTTTGTGAGTATGAAAAGTTTGCCTCCATTTGGATCCAAATTGCATTTCTTTAAAGGTTGTTTGTAGATTTCCGTTATTACAAACGCTAGATTTCTATAAATCTTTTGGCTGTATTTAAAGTCTATTAGTTTATTTTACTAGACCTAAGTTAAGTTAGGTTAGGTCAAAAGGTCGATTCAAAAAACAGGTCAGCCGAGAACGCCCGTCCATTCTGTCTAAAATACTCCCAGATATTGAACAAAAAGCGCTTTGAGTCTGCTATAAATTTGATGAGCCGACTATTTCACCAAGTTCCTCAAAGATATGAGGTTCTCCAGCTTGCAAAACCTGGACAACTGTTTTGAGAATAATTTTGACTTGAGGCAAGTTTATTGTTTGGACCAATTTAGAAGTGAGATGGTTTCTTTTTCCATTTAGGCTTCAATTGATGGTGTAGAGTTACGAAATTTCGTATTAATTATTAGAGTTAATTTATAGGAAATATATCAAACATTTCGCGGGGCGGCTGTTCATTAGGGTTTTATGTCCCGAACTTAATAAAAATTAGACTCATAGAAAAATAAAAGAAACAGATATTTCGCTTTTTTTCATGGTATTTTAACTTTCAAATTTGCCAAAATGTGTGGTTTTATTTATAACGAAAAGCTCAATAAGATTTCAACTAATTTCAACTTTCAACCATAGATCATCGATAGTTAGAGAGAAACTTTTAGAGCTCACTTCAAATGCGGAACCGCTCAAAATTTTATTGTCATATAACTAGAAAAACTATTCACAACGAAGAATTTAATGGACCCGTACTGAGTTTACATACCTGTTTCCTAGCTTCTGAGAAAAGTACGCTTTGTTAACGGTTATAAGCCGTATATCATTGATTAATATGTACTCTCATAGCTGTGATACTTACATCGGCCTACATGTGTATTTTCGAAACCTTATTATATTATATTCGATGATTTTGCTTATCGCTTTTTCTTTCGTTCTTAACTATGAAGTCACTATTGCTATTGCGAACATACTAGAAGTCGATAACTACTTGCTAATCATTATGCTTGTATTTTTAAGTGGCTTATTGACATAGCACAATTTGTCCAAAATATTTTAAGTTCTCCTCATCATAAGTGTGGTGTCAACTTGTCGTGATAACTATTCAGCAAACAGCCTTTGTTTGCCTCATAATCCTGCTAGTTGTTCCTAACCTACAATAGCTTCATACACTAAAAATAGCGTGAACTGAGCGCTAGGCATGACAAGAGTACAAATTACATAAGCACCTGTACAGGGTATGCATACGTATATATTTATATATACCCGAAGCATATCAGATTTGATATTGTGCAACATATTTGTAAAGTGATTAGAAGTATACGTTTGTCATATGCGCTGTCACACACACACACACAAACGCTCATAACTCGGTGACATTATATTACAATATTATTAGCTAGTAAATAACCCATTGAGTACTCGTGACATAAGCAAACACCCACACGCACACACACACATATATTTTGTTTTTCATGCACCGCTTGCATTCGCGTTCCTAATCACTAAGCACCTATTTGTATGCTTGTTGTCAGTTCGTTGACTAAAAGCGATGAGTATTTGCAACATTGTTGCTTATTTGTTTTTGCAATAAACTCACACACACACACCGCAATGAGACGTCCGTGTAAATGACAACGAATTTAGGTCATTATGGACACAGTCAAACAATGAAAATTGCTTGCAAATGCGTTACACACACCCCCACACATATACACAGCTGTCACACATGTATGTGGATGTATTGTTATTGCTATCCAGTTGACAGTTCGCGAATACAGGGCAAGGCACAAATGCGCGTATAAGCCTTGGGGGCAAATTGGCAACGTCAACGATAATGTCAAGCTTTCACACACACCCATCTAAACAAGCGGATCTAATAACATGTGTGTGTGTGTATTAACTCATTCGAGTGCTTATTCATATTTGCTCGCATGTAACGCATTTGATTATGTTGGCCTCGAGGGTTGATGATATTGTTAAGATGGCTATAGATATTGTAGTTGTTGTTTGTTGTTGCTTTTGCATTATATGCACTCTATTGTTAAATGATGTAAAGCTGCCAACACCAACGCCGACTGCTTGGCAATTGCAGCGCAGCGGCATCAATGCAACAATGCATTATTTTCCCGCTCTACTTGTCTGGCACACTGCTGCCCTCATTACTCTTGGTCTGCCACAGTTGTCTACATATTTTGATTGTATTCATATTCATGCGCATTAAGGCAGCAGACGTGAGGAATTTAATATATATATTTACTCGGGTTGCAAAGCTAAGCGTTTGAATTTTCAGGATCTCGATAATTCGGGATTATCTTTTCCATTTTAGTATTTGATTTGTATGCTACTCTGCAAAGTTTTCGGGATCCCGTTATTATAAGATTGCTGTTTAATGATTTGCATTCGGCAGTTTATTTGTTTAATTTTTATGTAACAATACATAAAATGGGACATAAAACCTCGAAAATAAGAATTAAACTAAAAATAAATCCCGAAAACTTAAGTTGATTCGTAGAGATCACGAAATTTCGGATCAGCTGTTTAATTTCTCGATTTCTTTATATTATTCTTTGGTTTTGTATGTTACTCAACTGAGTTTTCGGAATCCCGAAACTTCGGGATTAATGCCTAACTTTTGCATTCTTAATTTTAATCGTCCGATTTTTATATAGCAGTAAAAGTGGTATTAAGAATGTACAGTAAAAATTAACCCCGATATTTTCGGTGATCTGCAGAAATCTCTCGATCTTTTGAAACTGGCGCCTAATTTTTGAGCAATTAACAAATTTTCGTCGTTGAATTTGTATATGACTCTGCTGAGTTTTCGAGATATCTAAATTTCGAAATAATGTGAAAATGAAAATAGTAGTAGTAGAGAAGTAAATAAACTAAATTTCCTGTTTAGTGCTAAATTTTTGCTATAACTTTACTTAATTTTTTGGATTTGTAAGTTTCTCAACTGAATTTTCGGTATTTTTTTTTTAATTTATAGTATTTTTTATCTGAATCATTGAAATTTTCAGTAAGAATAAAAGAAAAACAATCCCGAAAATATTCGGGATTTCGGTATTACCGTCCTTAGCACACCCAGTTTCGGTATTCACAAAGTTAACCCTACTTGACTGCTGTGATGTGTACCATTAATAGCACTTGTTAGTTTGTTGCACCATTCATGCGGCAAGAGCGATTGTCCTGCCACTTCTCCTCGCTCAGCTTATATCGATAACCATGACATATAATAATAATAATAAAATAAGACTGTATATCAACCACATATATCGTATTTGTCATTAATAATGCAAACTTATTTTCTTCTCTTTTTTATTACTGATACGCTGCGGACATCACGTGTCTTTATCATTGCCTACTGTGCTGTTGGCTTCACCACAACTCTAATCACATTGCACGGCTAAATCGTTTTGCCACATCTCGTATATGCGTTCGCTATCGCCCACTTTCCATAATGCCGCGCTGATCGCTTTATGACAGACTCCGACACTGGCGGTTGGGGACCGTGGAGCGAATGGACACCATGCTCGACGAATTGTCTGGGTGGCACGCGTAATCGTTATCGATTTTGTGACTCACCTCCACCGCGTTATGGCGCTAAATTCTGTGAAGTAAGTACAATTCAAAGTGTAACTAAATAGCTGCGGCGCGTCAAATCGCAAACGCACATGCCAGCAGAAAAATAGTTCACCGTAGTTAGTAAGCAAGTCGACCGACCCACTAAACAACCAACCAAACAGTCAGCCAACTAAGTGATCAACCGTCCAAGTGACAAAGCCACCCCTTAAATGACCATACTTAGCGCTGCTTGCCACCAAGTGTGCCTGCTTTAGTGTTAGCCAGGCGCCAGTGCCGGATCAGCGCATCGTTAAACCACTTTGCCGCTTGGCCAACCATTGGCAAATGGCATTCTGTGGTGCATAATTTAAAACTTTTCCCGCGCGCGTTTAGTTAAGTGATTTTATTTTGCTGCTCGCTGTGCACACACTTTCTCGCTGTTGATATTTGTTTTGTATTTTGTTTTATTTTGTTGTTGCTTTTCAGCATCTTTTGTTGTGCTAAACGCATCACATTACCGGCTTGTTGTGCGCGCCCATTTGTTGTGGGTAAACTTTTAAAGCGCGAAGGTCTGCACTTCTGGCAGCTGGGCTGTAGCAGTTTACAGCGCAGGTTTTGTCCCCTGTCCATTCGGCTCGTAAATCGTAAATTTATAGTTGCAATTTAAGTTATATATTTAAAGTCTAATGGCTACAATCAGTGGTGCTATATATAATCCAATAATTGAACGGTTGTGTTGCTCTATTGTTCGTAATGAATGGTTGTGTTATTTGTGGGTGCTTAAATTTGGTTGTTGCTAGTTGATAAGCTGATAAGAGGAAAAGCCAAATTTCGAATATATAATATTATATATCAAATGTTTAAATGAAGTTTAATAATGGAAGATTTTTCGAAGTCTCAGTTTTATTTCAAAATATTTTCAAAGTGTAAAGGTGATAAAAGCTCTCCAATTAATACCTACATTGTAAACAATAATTTTTGTGTAATTTTTTTCTTAAGTATAATTTAACGTTAATCCTTACTTTTTAAGAACGACACACTATAGCTTCAGTTTTAAAGCTTTATAGTAAATAATTATATGCAAAAATTTATATTAATAATTTTTATTAATACAGTCTTCATATTTTTGAAAATTAATAAATTCAAAAATGATATGCTATTTTCGCTATCAATCAATTTAAATATTTTCACGAAAAATTAATGTTCAAAAATTAAAAATTATGTTTACATCTGTAGAAAGTTATACAACACTTTTCTTTTCGATCAAGCAATATTACATTTTGAATGCGAAATATGTATTAAGAACTTTGAAAATCCTAAATGTAGGCAACATATTATTCCTATTTTGACTTACTTTTATACACGGCACATAATATACAAGAGGTGCCAACAGGAAACATGAAACTGCAAAATGCTCTGCAATTTAATTTGCTGTCTCTACCTATTTAGTGTGGTCTCGTCTGCTCCTAAGTATTAGTATACTTAGTGATCTAATTTGTAGCCTACATTTAGGCTGATATTTCATTACCTAACATTATAAGAAATCCCAAAATTAGCGGAATATTTTCTAATAGCCGTCACTTAATAGCAAGTTATATAAACATTTCGACGTCTAGCATTATTGATAATTGGAATAAATGTAAATATCGGTATATTTCATCTACTTCATTATTGATTTTATCCCAGATCTAGATACTAAAAAGTTATAGAAAGAATATACAATTTCAATAAAAAGATTGCCCTCCTTATCATCTATTGTTTTGGAAACGTTCGTCTATGACGTCTTATAGCTCGCAAAGTCGTTGGTCATCCCAAGCATGCTTGAAGCCTTTTTTGTAACTCTTTCGAAACAACTTTACGCGGTTGTCTGTGGCGATTTTTAAATTAAGACATTGTGTAGGAAAGAGCAGGCTAACCCAGAGAGGTCTTCGATTTTACTTTGTTTGTATTATACTTCTCATTGAAGCTCTTTATCTTGCGACTCACTTCTTCACTATCCACAAAGCCTGCTGAAAATATTTACTTTTTATATCTACTAGCCAATTCGATTACCTTTCGGCTCACCCTCGTAACTCTGCCGCACAATCAAATAACCATTGCATCGCACAATATATTTATTATTTTAATTTAAGTTACTGAAGCAAATGAACTAATTACACACTCTCTACTTAATTGCCAACGACAAACTGCGTTGAGCCAAGAAAAATTAAAATTTCGCAAAGAAGAAAACTTTACAAAAACTTATGATGCCATAGTTAATTACACGCAAAAACTTGGTTTGCGAGCTTCCGCTTGATAGCATTAAGTGGAGGTCACTGCACCGGCAAAAAAAACAAAACAACAAGCCTTGCCACACGCTCAAGGAGCGCCTATATTCGCTAGAGCTGAGGACATGCACAACAAAACACTTGACAAAAAACAAGAGAGCGTACATAAAGCGGTATCTACTGGGGTTTGGGCGGCACAGGGTGGTGCTTTGGTCGCTATCATACTATTGAGGAAGTAAGTAATCATAAAGATTATAAACTCTGTTGAAAGTGATTACAGCAGTCATAGAATTGTAGCACAAAGCAAAAGCGAGGCTACGTGCAAAAAAAAACAAAAAAAAAAAAACACAACAACAACAATAACAAAAAGTGCGCAAGAACCCACAACAAGCAGAAGATAAAGACAAAATGAAAGAAATCTAAAACTGTGTAATAACTCTGAAAGTAGTACGCAAACAGGCATAATGCATCTTTTATGTGTGTATGTGTGCGTGTGTGTTGAGCAGAATGTGTGTGGAGTATAGCACAAAAAAAAAAGCGCGTGCAAATATTTAGTAGGTAAAAGTGGCAACAACAGCAATAACTCATTGTTGGCGAAAATGAGTTTTTTGCGTGATAAACAAAAGCCTACAATAAAAACAATGCAAATGATAAGACTGACAAGCTTAATATATTGTACTTTACCCCCACTTGCCGTTATTGTTGTTGCACAACACGTCTATATTACATATTTGCTTTTGTACCACTATACATAATACAACTTCATGTACAATAGTTACGCTGCGCCGACGTCAGCTAGCGGTTTACTTTTATACTTGCAACGCGCAACGCGTTTTTGTCCTTCTTTTTTCTACATTTCCGCCCGCGCAGAGTTGTATTTGTCTATATGCGGAAATTATAATTTCGCGCCTCGCCAACGCGCTGCTGTGCGCGCTCCAAGGCGCCATATCAAAGCTGTCAGTTGTTGAGCGCCGCCGAGGGCGAGGGAGTTGAGCGGTCGCGTACAAAGCGGTGGGCGCTTGTTTGTATGTATGCGTGTGGGTGGCGTCTGAGCGTGAAAGGCCTGTCATAAGGCGATTTTTGTCGACCAGCCAGAGCAATGATAGTGATGCGCGCTCTACAGTAGATTTCACTGCTTTTTGTTCTAGTGGCTGTTGTTGTTGCCGCTCTGCCTTTTGTTTACAGCACATAGTGCGGGCTTGCGGTTAACATTGTTGTGCGCTACGCTTATTGTTTCGTATATATGTACTGCATGCATATGTGTTTGCTTACTGATATGTATGTGTGTATGTTTTTGTATATGTGTGCATGCATTCGGATAGTTTATGTGCCTTTAGGGAAGGTGTCAGCGTTCCAACACTTGAACTAGATTGTGTTGGGAATTTACGGCGCATCGTTTTTTGTATGGCAACCAGCAACAAACAACAACACTAGTAGTTGATGACAACATTTATACACACATAATACTCATAAACGTTTACACCTACACGCCTGTTTTATTGTTCTGCCATAAAGTAGTGTTTTTAGGCGCACAGGCAGCTACACCCATACACATATACATATACATATGTAGTGGCACAAAATCAACAACAGCTACACCAACAATGATAATATTGAAGACAACATCTTTGTTAGACTTGAGGGCAATGTCTGTGCAATGCCGCTCAAAGCGGTCTTTTCTCCGCGCTTGGCGTTCATAAACGGGTGTCGCTGAACACTTCGCATTACAACTTTATACATACATACGTACATATGTATATACATATGTTAGGCTTTTCAGTAGCTGTGTGTCAGCATTGTTCGCGCTGGAAAAGTTATTTAAAATTATTACTAGAAAAGCTGTGCCAAAGTTCTACAGTTTTTAGTGCAAAGCCATGTTCGCGCATATCAGTGCAGTGTTGCAGCGCCGAGAGCTAGTAGTTCAAACTTTTAAGTGGCTATGCCATAAATGGTCGCACGGTTGGACGGACGGATGAAAGGTGTTACAGTGTTTTTGCCACTGTTGCTGGAAGAGTTTCATAGTGACTGCACAAAAATTTCGAAAAAAAGGGTTTAGGTTTACACAGGTTAGCATCTAGTTACTTTATGGTTATTACAGATCATTTATTCATCCTTATTCATCAGTGCACTTTAAAAGCTGTCCAGCGAAAGAGTATTTATCGCGCAGAAACAGAAAGAATGCTTGAAATAATGATCCTATCTAGTCGTTATTAGCTTTCTCTCATTTTTTGTTGCTTCTGGGCACCTAATAGTTTGAAGCCTCAACAAAGTATATTAGCATAGATTTAGCAGAAAATACTATCAGAGATATCTTCTTTTTTATAAGTTGTTTTAGACTATTTTTAAATATTATTTGCATAAACTCTCTAATTTTTCTGATTCTGAAATAACTTACTTCCCAATCTAAATCTAGTCCGGTGCTATGTCGCTTTGTTTTTTCAGGAATGTCAGGTTAAAAAGTCTCCTTTGATAAGCTTCTTTGTCAAGGCGCTGATTTATGCAGAAATAATATATAATTTTCTCTCTTTTTCTTTTCCTCATTAATCTTGCTTGAAAACCGTTTCAGATTTAAGATCCGCATTTACTACGATCTATTGTACTAAGATCCATAAAGTGTGCAGAAGTTCGGGTCTATAATATATATATTATTTTACCATTTTCTTTTCATCTGCTTTCCCTAAATCAACTACTGTGCAAATAATAGTACGCCAACGCGTATCATGTTTGTTGAGCCACTTGCTCTTTGCCGGCGCTTTTAGGTGGTCGCTGAAATACGTACTTGACATGTCGTAAAATTATTTTGAGCTTGTTTTTAGGCGCATTTAATTGAGTTGTGAGAGCATGTGAGCGCGGCGTTTAAGAATATGTAAAGTGTACGCACCAAACACTTAGTTGTACACACTTAACCAGCTGTCTACATAAGTTTGGGTCTATTTTTTTTTCTCGTTTCGCTTGCGGTTGTTTGTATGTGTAGGCATTTAGTTTGAATAACGGCATGTTGGCAACACACTGTTGCCATATGTGGGCACATACAGACATGCAAATATTGTACGAACGTGTCGGAGCATGTCAACTTGTTGCTTGGTTGCCAAGTAATGATGTCAGTCTCCATCGCATTTGTTTGTTCGATAAATCAAAACAAATTCTTTAGTGGAAATATTTTTATAGAAAACGTTGACGTTTGCGGTGACGGCGATAATTTTCTCTAAGAATAGACATAATTTATAATATTTGAGTACAAAATACGCTGAATTTTTTCCAAATTTTTTTAACAACCCACTTCAACAAGTGACGTCCACACGAAAAACTTCCGAACAACTTCCGTTTCAAAAATGCCACCTAAGAAAGGTAAAGGTAAGGGCAAGAAAGGAAAGAAAGAGGAGAAGAAGGATCCAAATAAGTTGAACAATGTGGATCGCGCATTCTGTGAACTCACCATAACCGATCTCAATCAGAAGCTTGCACGTCTACGCACACACCTCGCTTCATTGGATGACAATAATGTTAACCTCAAGGAGAAATTGCATCAAATTGAGGAGGATCACACTGATGTGGCGGCGCATTTGGAGCGTACGCTCGGCGAACGCAACGAAACGATACACGAGCTGGAAGAGCGTCTTACTGAGATCATCAAGATACGCGAGGCAGAGAATGTGCAATCGGCAGAGAAAATAAGAGAACTGGAGACCAAATACAAGTCTATGCATGATCAATTGACCTCCGAAATTAAGCTGCTGAACGGAAAATTGAACTCGCTGGACGAATTTCGCGTGCAACGTGATCTATTGCTCTCCAAATTCGACGATCAAGAGACGGAATTGAAAGAGAAGGAGCGCGCACATACCGAAATGATTTATGCAATGGAACAGAAAGCGGTCGTGGAGAAGGATGCGCTAAAGAAAGAGGTGGAAACTAAGCTATTACAGGTATCAGAGGATTTTACGCGCTCCAGCGAGATACGTAACGCTGGCTATACGCGTCGTTTAATACGTGAGAATATCGCCTTGCAAAAGGAAATCGACATATTGGTGCTGTCGCAGATTAAAATGCAACAACAATTTAATGATCAAGTTGTGCGGCATAAAGAAATGGCCGAGCAATATGCGTCAATGGATCAGCTGAAAAAACAGCTGATACGCAACTCACAGAATAAGATCAAGATAATCGAGAAGCTTACCGATAACTATGAAAAGCTCAAATCCAAATATGTAGAGGTTGCTAAGTATCGCAAGTTGTATGAAACTGCGGTGAAGCGCGATATCTGCGAACGTTTCAACTTCAAGGATATGTCGAAGAAGATGCGCCATTTGGAACAACGCATCGAAGAGCTGAAAATGGAGAAGTCACGTTTTATAGCGATGCATCAACAGCATGAAACAGAGATACAACGTCTGCGTGACATCATCATACAGATTAAGAGCACCGTACGTTCGGCCATCGATGCTATAGATAAACCGTGCGACAAACAGGCACTCAGAGAGAGTATGTCGCAGGATGCCTTACGTCAACTGCGTCGTCACGATCTACTCACTGAGTTAATGGATATTGTAAGCAGTCACTCCGATAAGTTGCCACCGACACCCTCAGCTCTATCGATTTCACGTTCCACATCCTCGGTTTATCGTCCCGGCAAAATGGGTTTCATGCCGCGTAGCGCATCTTCGCTAATGGAAATTTTCAAGCGTACCGCACATAAAGCCGCCTCCGCAGATGTTGTCGCCACCGAATATCAAATACAACAGGTTGAGAGTAAAATCATACCGAAAGCACGTGAACTGGGCGGTGAAAATTTATTCGATGTGGAAATGGGTTCCACTTTATATGTTTCATCCTCGCACGAAGCCATCGAGACTGTCGTGCCGGTCGAGGATGAGCAAGTGGAGGGTGAGGATGAGGGCGAATCGAGTAGCGCCGATTATGGCTCATCGGCAGCACGCGCAAAACAATCGGTCGTTACAACGCCGGCAGCTGAAGTTGAAGCGCCAATGACTGGGCGACTATCAATGCGGGTATCGCAACGTTCCGAAGCGGCTGAAACTGCGTCGCAGCGTGGTAGCGAATCCGGCTCTCGTGTCATTTACGATGTGGAGTACGATGAAGGGGATGAGGAGTTTTCGATTAACTTATTCTACTGAATATATGCAAAAATATTTTTTATATGTAAATATTTTGATGTAAAAAAATTATTTATTTTATTTTTTAGTAAATTTGTAATAAACACAAAAACAGAAGAAACGCAATATATTTAATTTCTATATTAAAAGCTGTAATTATAAAATATCTGTAGTTATGTTTGCTTTTTTCTCTCGTAACAAAAGTTTATTGCATGAGATTTTGTTACATTTGTAATTTTATATTTAAATTTATTTTATTTGAATTTTTTGCTTTGCTTCAGGGTCCCTCTGTGGAGACGGAAAAATGTGGCAACGCCATCGCCGATACTTGGGACTGTATTTATGAGAGCAGCGGTGCCACCTTTACCGCTGCTAATCGTACCGAGGTCAATCAGGAGATTGGACCGGGCTGTCGCTGTGGCTGCATTGTACATTTGGGTTCGTCAAAACCGAAGCGCATTTTAGCAGGCGCCACTCAAAGTTGTCCCGGACGCTCTTTTTGGCTTATACAGGTGAGTGGAATTGAATGAATATTATGAATAGAGAAATTTGAGAAAATGGTTTTTTAGTAAATAATTATTTTTTGCGATTTTTACCCACACTTTTGAGAAAGAATGTCATGATATTAAGAAAAAAAATACTTACACCTCACTATTATTTAAAAAAATTCACTTTTACCTCCAGTAAACGAAAGTGTTGCTTCAATCCAAACGTCTGTGCGCAAACTAAAACCTTAATATCCGTAGTTCCTCTAATATCTTCTCACATTTTGTCTTTAGATCTGTGAGATAGAACTTTTAGCTTAGCTCTTTGAGCAGAAAAGTTAAAAATGCAGTTTTTTTTCGAAAACATTTGATTTCATGCGTCCACAAAATTGTAATTTAGATAGATATGCCGACAAGAGCGTCTTCCAACTTTTCGATACCATGTTTGTAGTATTTGTCTTTTGTTCGATTTGCTGTTTGCTTATAATAGGCCTGAGTTTCGGCGAACACCAAGTTCGATATCTTAAAATCGGCTGTTGTGGGGAAATTGAGGGAGCTTGAATGTCTTCTTTGTTGCTTAATTTCTCTACAGCGAGCTTTCTTTTGAGATTTGAGGACTGGAAAAAATAACTAGCGCAAGATAAGTAAAAGTTGCTGAAAGTGAAAGAAATTTGAAATCCAATTCATGCTGTTTTACTATAATTTTTATTTTCTGTTATATTTTCTTCCTAAAACAACTGTTGCTTCTTTTTCAAATGGTGTGGTTTTTACATGATTTCGTATTTTAAATATTCCAAAACGGCTATAAATAATGGTCGCTGTTGAAAGGTTTCTAAAATTACTCCTGAGAACGTGCAGGGTACACGCTAGCTTGAAATAGTAAATTCTTGATCTACTACCCCCTGGTCTCCTTTTATAGAAGTAAATTCATATAAGCAAGGTTACCTTTTAGTGAAACGCGATTTCCGTCATTTAAATAACAACTTAACCAACTTAGCTAGCAATAATTGGTTTACCGCTAACGAGCCATGAGATTATCCCGAGCTCATAATTTTATATGACATATAATCCTTAGCGCATATTTTTTAACCAACACGCACACTAACATAGTATCTGCATGGCAACCATAAACACTAATTTTCACACATACAAATTCATATGCAGATAGCTCTATATAAAGCTACATGTGCTAATGCACTTAGGGCATTTATCAGTTCTTAAATTGTCCATTTCATATGATTATCTATGCACTACATTCTACTTTAGTATGCTCCCCTCCAACCGTTAGCATACAGCAGCTTCAATTTACTTAATTAAAAAACATAATCGCTCCACTTTGCCATCATTTCATTTGCCGCCACTTAAGTTAGGAATGTATGTATATAAGTGTGTGTGTGTGTGTTGCAGTTATGTTCGAGTATATCTCCCAGTGGCAATAAATGAATATTTTCCTTTGCACTGCAGCAATCCCACGCTGTTAAATAAGCGCTCGTTTGTGTGTGTTCTTTATGCACTCGCATATTTGTTTCATAAGCGTATATGGATTATGACGCTGAAAAAGGCAAAAAATAAAAATAAAAGTGGAAAAATAAACGAGCTGTCATCTGAATGCTACTTGAATGTCTCAATTCGCCATTTAATCCATTGACTTTCACATATCGACGTGCAGATATCGTAAACTTCAATTACCAAATGTCAATGGTGTTCGCACTTGGGAGCCCAGTAAGAAATCGATTGCTATAGAGGGAAGTAAAGTGAAAATTATTTTTATTAAATAAATTATATAAATAAAAAAAGAAAACACGCTTGCAGCAAACTGTTGCTCAAGTTAATATTTATATATTATTTATGTATAAAATAAGAGTTACCACCTTTTGTATAGTATTTAAATTAATTTTCGTTTTCGATCTCAATGTGTTTACAAATCTCAGGTTCGGTTTAGGTGAGATTTACCGCATTTCTTAAAACAAGGTTGCCATCTAAATTATAATACAACTTTTGGTTCCAAAACATGGTGGCACAAAGCTGACAAATTAAAATTTTTTTAAATTATTTATATTTTTTGATTATTTTCGATTTTATTGCCGTTTATTTTGAACCACCGTTGCCACCTAAAATTATAATAAACGTTTTGGTGCAAAGAACTTCTTACAAAATAGATACGTTAGTATTATTTTTTAATTGCTTTAGGTTTCATATGCCGTACTTTGTAAAAACAGCGTTGCCACCTAAAATTATAAAAAAAAAATTTTGAGTGTAAATAAATGCTCTAAAATGGTGGCGCATAGGAGAGAAATTCAAAAAATTGGCATACAGCTTTAAAAATTCGATATTCAGTAAATATAAATTGTATGATTATGCAAGAGCTGATTGATCTATTTGAGATATCGATTTAAAATTTTAGTATATTGTTGGAAAAGGCAAAAACTTATTGAAATATGAAAAAATCTAACTTTTTTTAATTTCACACTAGCTGTGCCTTTTGATATATTTTTTAAAATAAATTTTTTAATAAACTATTAATATTTCCCACATGAACATATTTTTTTAAAAAACAATTAATTTTAAGAAAATTCAAATATATACAAAACTCCTGACATTTGACAGATTTCCAACTAGACACATACAAACAAACACCAACACACATACACAGAGTGTAATATTATATAACGCCCATAACAAAGCGCACAGCGCGAGCATTAACTTTAAAGACTAAATAAAGCAGCTACAGTTTTCAGCAACGGCATTCAGCCATCAGGTTCGCTCAGATAGCAGTGAAACCAATTTGAAGCTCTGTTGAGTTGTAAAACCGAACAATTTTTCGCCATTTACAAAAACACGCATGAATACATGCGCAAACGCTTACATATGGCAAGAATTATATAAATGCTCACACAAACGTGTTTGTATGTAGCTGTAAGTGTGGCTGGCAGTTGATCTTTTTATATACTTCCACGCCATACACGAAGGACACACACACAGCCGCACTGCCACCTTTCACTAGCGCATAGATCGAAAATTTTGCGTTTGTGTGTGTGTTGGGTGTGCGGGCAAATTGTCGACAATCCAATGTTAATTGTATGGAAAAGCGCCATTTTAACGCATTGCAATTAAGCCGTAACAACAACACCCACAGCAGTAGTAGTAGTAGTGATAGCAGCACGTGCAGCGCTGACAACGTGATAACGCAACGTACGCGGGTGTTACGTCACATACCTGCAAATAAAATACTGCTTGCGCCAGCGAGGAAAAATCGGGAAGGGATAAAATTGTAGTCAACCGAGGCTGGCTAAAACGAAATGAAAAATTCAAAAGGATAAATGTCTAAAGCGAAAAAAAGGAAAAAAATAACAATAACAAAAAAAAAATGCGAGTAAACTGTTAAGTAAACGCATGCCGAGTGGTGGCTTCAAAAGTGGCACACGAACTCGTTCAAAAACCAATATTCAGATGCATTCGAGGAGCAAAAATGCTAGTTCATCCACTCTGCTGTTGCTGCTGATGTTGGGGTGCATAGTAAAAATTAAAAAAAAAAAATCAAAAACAATCGCAATTCTATTGCTCAGTGAATAGGTAGAAACCTAAAATGTGGGGTGACGCATTCAGCTCCATCCAGAGACTCTTGCTATCTTAGTGTACAGCATAGAATTTGTTAAGGTAAATTTGAAGGGTCTTGAGTGAATGAGCATTGGCAAATAGCTTTTACATATACATACGCGTACAAATGTAGAAAGGTGAATATTTAGTGTGTATGTGTGGTAGTACCCAGTAGGAAATTTCAGTGATAAGTCCCTTGGTGTAATATTATATTTTATTATACTCTTACAACATGTTACTACAGAGTTTTATTCACCTATCGCTTGTTTGGATCAAATAAAACTAATCGAGATAGATATGCAGTTATATATATATAAATGATCAGAGTGACTTGACGAGGTGACTGGTTGTCCGTCCGTCTGTCTGTGCAAGCTGTAACTTGAGTAAAAATTGAATTATCCTCATGAACCTTTATACACGTGTTCCTTGGGAAAATCGGGAGGACGAGTTCGTAGTTGGGCATAATCGGACCACTGCCATGCTCATAAAACGCCATTAATCGAAAATCTATAAAATGCGATTACTAAGCCTGCATTTAGATGTAAAAAACTGTAATTTGGTATAGGGAATTTGATTTGGTATAGGATATTGTAGTAGCAAGGGACACATTTGGGCTCAAAATTTTGAAAAAAAGGGCGTGACCCCGAAATCTAATAGGTTTGGTGTACATATCTTCTAAATACCCAAGGCTACAATGAACAAACTCTCTTAGGGCCCTCTACCGACAGTATAAAAATTAATGAAATCAATCCCTTCATATAACGGCTTTGTTCAAAACTATTAAAAGCCCGATAAATCAATAGTTTAATGCACTAGAGACATTAAATTTTACACTCAGGATAATACAAGAGCGCTTATTATGAGCCGGGGTCAAAATTTGAATATGGGCGTGGCAACCTCGACTTTGGTTGCTAAAATCATATGGGTTCAAAACTCAAACCACTATGATTTAAGCTTATATTCGACCATATTTATATTGCTTATCTGGTGGAGGGTTAGATATCTGAGAAGGACATTTTTTTGTACGGCTATATAGATATTGGAATTATCATTTATTTTGGGTAAAAAAAAATTAGCCATAAGCGCTGAGGAACACATTTTTGGTAACAGACTACTTGAAAAGTATAGTTTGAATACGATAATTTTTAAGATATATACCGTTATGGCACTATTTGTGCAAAGTTTTATTTCGATATCTTTTTTCGTGCTTGATTTATATACATATTTTTAAATATACTGTGATAGCTGGAAAATTCTCAAATAAAAGGATATAGTTTAAGTAGTACATTTTTGAACAAGAAAAAAACTGTTTCGATAAATTAGCGATAAAAGCGTCTTATTTATTTTTTTAACTTCCCGCTAAGAAAATTGAAAATTTTCTAAAAATCGGGAAGATATTGGTTTCACCCCATTTTGCAAAAATCGAGTTC